ATTAGCTACAGTAACACTTAGCAATCAGTGGATAAGAGTGAACAGAAGACAGAAAGCAGGAAAGACTTGATGTGCCACCAGTGCCTGAGGCCTCTGCAAATGCAAGGAATAGATTAGATTTCATATACACAGTAATGCTTCACATGGAAGAAGAAAATGAAAACCCCCCATGGATTCTACACCTCTAAGGTAGTAGACAATTCCTAAATTCCTTCCCCACTCTCTCAGTAAGTGTAACTGTGTGATCTGAACTAGTATCTGCCAGGCACATGTCTCCATCTGAAAGGGCTGCCACACCAGAACGTTTTTCCACTTTATCCATATTCCTCTTTCTAGATGTGCCAACCCAGAAGCTAGCTAAGGCTGATCAGCTGTGAGCCACAAAAAGCAGTCCCCTCCTCAACCAAACAAAGAACCCAACAACAGGTAACCTCAACAAAGAAACCAAAACAAACAAAAAAACCCCAACCCTAACCCTTTCAGGACAGGTGCTAAGGCCTAAAAGTAATAACATGCTGCAAGTAATCTGATATTCTACCATGGAAGTAGAGAAATTCAAAGAATACACTACCAAAAGTATAATTTAGGTAAGTTTTACCAAACCCAAATCCTATGTAGTTTTGAAGTTGCATTTACAAAAATGAGATGTCACATTTTATAAGATAATTTCTAATAAATGAAGCTTCCACATTAAGTATACTGCTTCAGTTATAATAATTTTTTTTTTTAAAAAGGTATCTGTTAGTATTTATTCTACATTGGTTAAATGAAAAGCTTACCACTGCTTCAGTTACAACTTTTTAAAAAAGTTTTAAAAAATCAGGTTCTGTTAGTATTTTGTTGGTTTTACCTTTCTGTAGCTTTCCAGTTGATCATCTGAAATACCTGTAGGATACGAGATTGTTACAAGGTGATTTTTTCCTGGTAACATGAAATGAAATTGTTCTGGCACCACAATTGATGTTCCTTTCATATACTTCATGATACATCTTTCCATGTCACTTAATTGCCTGTGAATTGCTTTCACCAGGAGATTTTGTACCCTGCAGAAGAATATTTGAAAAGTAGAACAGCGATGGTGGATAATTTCCCCTCATAGCTCTGACAGTTACACAATATATATAAGCATATTTGCACCTGGTCCGATGAACTTACTACTTCCACGCTTCCTCTCCCACAGAGAAAGACAGAACCTCACTGTGCTTTACTCGAAGCACGTCTGCACGTAGAAACTACTTCCTAGCGATTCAACCCTCCAAAGTGCAGGTACCCTGGCCTTATATCAGAAACACAACCAGTATAAGCACTTGCTGAAAAAAAAGGTACATATATGACTATACTGTTTTTTTTCTGCATTTTATCCACCCCATTTAGCATCCTTCAGAGACAAATCCTACGGAAAAAACTGCAAGGAGAAAGTACAGAGGAAGACTAACATGTTCCACCTTCACCTACCCAGCTGCAGTCCCTAACGTAGTACTGAGATTACAAAGACTCATCAAATAAAGTCCAACTCTCACTTTTATATATGCTCACATACTTACAAGAGTTTTTAGATAATTTTCTTGACTTTTTCAATTCCTTGCTAAGCAACAGTTACGAATTATCAAATCTATCAGACATTAATAGCTGAATTTTTTGTAGATAGCAAAAGGATTGTGTGTCAAGACTATTAAAGCTAAAAGCTCCTGTAGACAGCTGTTATTATTTACACAGTTAAATTCCATTAAAAAATTACTATATGCTACTTCATTAAACTGATTAATCATATAGCTTTACTTCACTATTTCAAGAGAAAGCAGGAATGAATCTGAAAAATTACAAGTTCAGAATAACACTTACGTTCCCCACGTTTCTTCTGGAGAAACAGATACAACAACATCAACTGGTAACGTCACATTTATGTAGTGGTGTTCCTTATTTTCCCTTTCAATGACTGGAGCCAAAGCAGCTACTGAAGATGTCATTTCCAACATGAGGTCTATATTAACTATCTGCTGCTGCAGAGAATAAAGACACCAGTAGTACATCTCCAACAACACATGCACCAAGAAGGCAAAAGTAAGATCTTAGATACTTGGTAACAAACTCAGTAATGAAATACTCAGGATAAAAAAAATAAATCTAGTCACATTAAAGACAAACTTCTATGTGCTGATCTAATGTAGACTGGTCTCTGCATTCATGCTGAGTCTCAAAATGATTTTAAAAGAATTCTTTTAAGTCATATCAATGTCTATTTGTGTACAGAAAAACCTAGAGAGCGCAGATCTAAAAATGTTTAAATGATAGGTAGTCTGATATAATTTATTAGTGTGGTGAGACACATACCGTATCTTGTAACTTTTTATCCTTTTTTTTGCCAAGCTTTCGTTTAGTGTCATCCTCTTGGTCAAATCTGAAGCATCAACAGAAAGAGAAATTTCTATAATATGAAATTAATCTATTAAAAAAAAAAAAATTAAATATACTCACTGTATAAATCGTCTTATCTCCTTACAAGCAGAGTCATCAGTCAGTTCTGGAACAGTGTTCATACCATTGTTTGGCCACATGTAGACTGAACTGTGGCAAATTCTTAATACAAGAACATCTGAGGATAGTTTGTCTGCAAGATCACTGAAAACATATCCTAATGCCTTTTTTGTTGATGCCTCTGAAATACAATCAGGACAAAATTAGCCTAGAAAATTCCCTCACTTGTGTTATAGCTACTGGCCATACATTTAAAAACCCTGATGTTTTTGGCTTGGAATAGAAGTGCTGTTATAATCAGAAAACTGGCTATAAAAACAGAAACTAAGATAGGATTTCACTTAGCAGGTCTGTCTCAAACATTCACATTCATACCTGCCTGAACAAAAGTGTAGTTTCTCTCAGATGCTGTCAGATATGAAGAACTGAATGAATTACAGAAGAATAACTTACACTGTAGCTGATTCTCACATCAATAACCCTTAACCAAGCCTACAGCTGCAAACAAACTTCTACATACAAACTTCTACATATTTAGTCTTTTATATATAGTCTTTTGAGTAAATCCTGGAAAGATGCAACCCGAGTCATGTGTTTCTGACTTCATATCATCGTTATATCATTATTCTGACTTCATATCATTATTCAAACCAAACCCATACTAAATTTTTGGAAAAGCAGGGCCTATACTCCAGCTGCAGACCAAATTTTGGCCAGCACAAACCTGCAACTGTAAGGCACACCCTGGTCAGCCTGAATCTATACTACCAGTATAGACAGCTGTCTTTTAGAGGTAGACCTGACTTTTAAAGTTGCACCCACTCCTGACAACCTGAATTGATACTGGATATTACAGAACAACTTTTGCATGTTACCACCAGCACTGTTTTCCTCACTGAGGAGATTAAACACTGTTACTTAGAATGCCACAAGTTACACAAAGCCTAACAAGCTATCAAAGGCTATGCTGAATTGTATTTCTTTAATGCATTAACTTAAGACTTGGACACTATTAGTTGACTTTTGCACTAGAAGTATGTAAATACTACAGTATTAGAAAAATAAAACAAAACTCCTCCAAAAAGAAAACCTCACTCCCTTCAAAAGGAGTCGTCTGCCATATTTATGCACTAACAGGTGTGAACACTGTGCACCTGGACAATCTGAATATCACTCTGCTTCACTGTGGTTAAAATTCACTACACTGTTAACAAAGCCAAATAAATAGCCTTTTTCTAAGGATGCAATTCACAAAAAGTTGCTATGCATTAGGCCAGCCTATTCAACACTTCTGTCCCACACCATGAACTGAAATGAGCCCAATTTCCTTTCCAAGGTTCACTAGCACTGAATCCAGAGTTTCTAGTAAAGACATGTCCTGTTAAAATGCAGAATGAGCTACAGTCAAGCTAAAGACATCCTCCTTCTGCACTGCACTCCATGATAGCTCAGTGGCCACTGATAGCCTTTGAGCAGATTTTCTGAAATTAATGTTATGTGACTGTAAGAATGTGGGACTAGAGGAGCCTCTTAACACCATGTGGTCTAGTCCCTTGCTATTACATGGAACTGCAGTAGCCAATCCAGCCAAAATTCTGTAGAGTAACTAGTTAGTTTGTTCATTTCTATTTTTCTAGAAAGACTGGACTACAATCTCAAAACTTTATTATTAATATAATCCTGTTATAAACAAATTAATTGTCATTGTTATTCTCTTTTTGCTTAGAATTTCAGGGCCAACTTTGGATTCAAACTGAAAAGGGATACCAATACCGTATCCTTATGCAGGAAAAATATGCAGATAAGATGACCTAAACATGGCAATCTAACTTTACTTCAAACTAAAATAAAAAACATACAATGGAAAAAGACTCTCAGAAAATTAATGGCAATAAAGAATAACATTTTCTGTACTTAATCTTTATGGGTCTAGGTGAAACGCCACAAAAATAAACATCATAAATTGTTAATTAATAACAGGTTACTTATATAAATATTAAGAAATCTATTATAGTCTTATAGACACACCATCAGTTGTTGCTAGCTGAAATGCAAGATCCAAGCCTCCTCTTATTCTAAAGGTTATGTCCATAGCTTCTAGAATTACCTAAGGAGAAAAAAGAAGCAATGAAAGTGAATAGCTTTCAACATGCTTTCTCTCAAACTACAATTGACTATTGTTATACCACAGTGTGCAAGCACACCGGTAATTACTGCAGCTGCTCAGGGTATGAAAGGCCAGTGAACGAACAGGGTGGCATAGCAGCACATAATTTCCAGAGCCAGTACTTCTATTACATGAGTATTGCTATAAACACAGTCCTTAAACCGCATTTCCTATTTAAATAAGATATTCTATACTCAGGAAAAGAAAAAAAAAAAAAAAAAAAAAGG